TTTTTTTGCATGGTTGGATTCTTGAGGGTTATTTGGTCTAACCTCCCAAAGATTGCTGCTTACGTGCACAGTCATTTTTACGCAAGAACTGTGTATTTACAGCTAAATATTTACCTATATTGGACCTTTACACAAAGGGTAATACACATAAGGATTAGCATATTTAAAGCCGAGATGAGGAAGAATTACTTCTCTGTAACGGTCATGAATCTGTGGTACTCAATACTTCAGAGTGCAATGGATGCCAGGACTCTGAGTAAATTTAAGTGGGATTTTTAAATAGTATTGGGTTGAAGTGTTTTGGAGAGGAGTCAGGAAAGTGGATTTGAGACCAGGATGAGATCAGCGGTGACCTTATTAAGTGACAGAGCAAACCTGAGGGGCTGAGTTGCCTTTTTCTGCTCCTAGTAGTTAGGTTCCTATGTTTGAGATTCGGTCTCCTTCCAGATCTCTCTACTTAGTCATATGACTCTGACTTTACTATTACATCATCTTCATGTATGCTTCTCAATCCCATTATTCAACAGTTGCCTCCTCAAAAAATCACTAACCCTATTAACGCAGCTTCCCTTGACAAATGCACAATGACTATACTTGACCAAACAATAGCAACAACCCTAATATAGTGCATTGTCCTAAGGGGCTTTATAGAGTCACCAAAAAGCAAAATTTGAGACTGACCTACATAGGAGAATATTGAGACAAATGACTAAGCTTAGGTGAATGGAGCCAGTTTTCTGGGCAGATTTAATGAAGAAGAAGGGCCAAGAAAATTCCAGAGCACTAGTACTTTGGCAACTGAAAGCATGGCCACTAATGCTGGAACAATTAAAATTGGGGATACTTAGGTTTTTTTTCATATCGTTCATTGGTATATGAATGTCACTGGCTAGGCCAGCTTTTATTGTCCAGCCCTAATTGCCCAGAGGATAGTTAAGAGTCAACTGCATTGCTATGGGTGTGGAGTCACAAGTAGGCCAGAATATTTAAGGATGGCAGATTTCCATCTCTAACGGACATTCATTTACTAGATGAATTTTTAAAACAATCAACAATGGTTACATGGTCACCACTGGACAAGCATTCTTGTTATTATTTCAGATCGATTTTTAATTAATTTCATATTTCACCATCTGCCATGGTGGGATCCAAACCCATGCCCTACAGAATATTAGTCTGGGGTTCTGCATCTCTAGTTCAGTGACATTACTACTACACCACCATCTTCCCAAAGGGTATTAGTGAATCAGAAAGGTTTTTATGACAGTTAGCAATGGTCTCATGGTCATCATTACTCTTTTAATTCCACATTTTAAAAATGATTAGTTTTTAAAACGAAATTTGTGAACCCAGGCCAACCCACAGTTTCCTGTATTGTAACAGTGAATTTGCTTCAAAGGTACTTAATTGGGTGTAAAATACTTTGGGGAGATGTGCTTGTGCAAGACACTATTGAGTTGCAATTTTTGTCATTGTCCACAAATTTGGATACACGCTGCCCATGATCTGAGCAGCATGTAAGAATTGTCCTTCCGTGTCTTAATGGGCTCTACGTTCAAGTTAACGGTTGACATTGAGCAATTAAACGTGGTCCCTTTCCTAAATGTCCTGGTTAAGAAATCAATCAGGAATTCTCTACTGCAGTCTGTCACAAACCTACCTTCACTGATCACTGACTTTAAGGTTGGCTTTTTTGGAAGTCTTGTAAATAGGGCACAAGTGTTTTGTTTACTCTGCAAACTGATGATGAAATAGGGCGCATCAAAGCCATTCTTCAGGATAATGACTACACCAATCAGATAATTTCTCACTGTATATCACTCAAACTCATGGAATACCATAAAGTGATCACTCTTGGCCCAGTCTACCTCTGAATACTCTGAAACGGAAAGGTATCTCATAAGTTTGAGCAACGGAAAAAGCTAATGGGTCCAAGTTTGTGCCAAGCATTAGCAGCACAAATAGCATTTGCCACTAATGGGAAGCTGAGATCAGTTTGTGGAGGACAGATATCTTTGAGAGTTGGAAGAGGTTACACATATAGTGAGACTATAAAGATATCTGAAAGCAAAGATGATTTTGTTTTTAAGCCAAGGCATGGTTAACTTGAAACCAATGTACGTTAGCAAGTACAGAGATAATGAATGAATATAACACAGACAGAAGAGTTTTGATGATCTCGCATTCATCGAAGGTGGAATATGGGATTCTTTCTCAGAGATCACTGAAATAATCGAGGCCAGAAATAATAGAGGCATACCTGAGGATTTCAGCAGCATAGGAGCTGAGGCAGGGATAACATTAGGTAACGTTACACAAGTGGAAATAGGAACTCCTAGTGATGATACGGACATGTGTTTAAAGGTTTATCTTGGATTCAAATATCAGAGCAAAGTTGCATCATGCCTGGTTCAGACTCCGATACTTGCCTGGGTGTGGGTTGGAATTGATGCCTAAAGAATGATTTGCAGCAGGAATGAAGAATGATGGCATCACTTATCCAAAAATGTTATTGGGAGAAATTGCTGATCACCCAGCACTAGCTATCAGCCAGCAGGTGGATGGTTTAGGGAAAGAGGAATCAGGAAAGAATTAGTGAGTTGAACTGTGAGTCCCTTTACTGCCTGCTGCATCTGCGTGCTTAATTTCAGCAACTGGTGCAGGAGGACACCCAGGTCTCATTGATCATTCACCTCACTCAATTTACAGTCATTCAGATAATAATCTACCTTCCTATTTTTGATACCAAGGTGGATAACCTCACTTTTATCCACATTATACTGCATCTGCAATGCATTTTTCTACACATTCAGCCTGTCCAAACCACATTGAAACATCTCTGCCTCCTCCTCACAGCTCAACCTTCCACCCAACTTCGTGTTGAAAATTAGTTTGTTAATCTTCTCTCTTTTCAAACAACGTTACAATATTAGCAATTATCTAATGTTTTAGCATGATGCAAATAGCTGGAGAGAATTGGAAAATGATGATCAGAACATTCATTATTCTCCTTCCTTGCTTTGCAGTCTGAGCTATGTTTTATCCAGACTGGTTAGTTCCCAGTTTCAACAATTCTAAACTCCTCAATATTTCCTTCTTATGCTTGTCGCATCCAATGTTTTCAGTCCTCTTCCTCAATTATAATATGTGTAACACCTCCCTCCTTTATGAAGATGGATGCAACATACCATGACATGTCTCCAACCACCACACACGGAGTTCATTTTGGCCTTTACTAGCCTTATCTTTTCCTTTGTTTTCTCTTTGCTCTTTATAAAGTTATAAAACATCCAGGAAAGATGCTGTTAAACCTGAAAGGGTGCAGAAAAGATATACAAAGATGTTGGAGCATTTAAGCTATATAGAGAGGCTGAATAAGTTGGGGCTTTTTCCCTGGAAGTCAGAGGCTGAGAGGTGACCTTATAGCGGTTAATAAAATCATAAAGGGCATGGATAGGGTGAATAGTGAAGGTCTTTTTTTTCCCAGGGTAGGGGGAGTCCAAAACTAAAGGGCATAGGTTTAAGGTGAGAGGGGAAAGATTTAAAGGGGACCGAAGGGGAAATTTTTTCATGCAGAGGGTGGTGCACGTATGGAATGAGATGCCAGAGGAAATGCTGGAGGCTGGTACAATTACAAATTTCAAAGGCATCTGAGTGGGTACATGAATAAAAAGAGTTTAGAGGGATATGGCCCAAATGCTGGCAAATGGGACTAGATTAATTCAGGATATCTGGCCAGCATGGATGAGTTGGACTGAAGGGTCTCTTTCTATGCTGTGTAACTCTATGACTCTATCTTGGCTTTCCGTTGATTTTACTTGCAGATATTTTTAATGGTCTGTCTTTGCTTTCCTAATTTCCTTTTCAATTTCAACCTCGCACTTTTTATACATCTCCAGGCTTTCTGCAGTGCTGCATTCTCAGTAACCAACAAATGTTTCCCTTTGAACTTTTTAAATGTCTGCCTCTGATTTCTACAAGGTTGGGTGAAAGTGGAAAGTGGGGGGAGGTAGTTAAATTAAAGGTTAATATCTTTTCCATAAACATTGTATCGATCAATACAAAAAACCCACATATTGAGCAGAAAGACTTATTGAAAGAAAACTACACAGACTGTTCCAACGCTCCCACTCAAAATATCTGGACTCAGGTTGCCCAAGGATAACTAGAGATGCTAAATACTAAAACATCAGCAGGTCAATAAATTCAACGTCATTAATGAAGTTGATAAAGTTAATTCAGGTTAAATTTGGTGTGAAATATATAAGAAGAAAAGTTCTTCCAATAAAGGACAGGCATCTAAGTCAATTTTTTAATAGGACATTAGTTGTATTTCTGAACAAAATAGGAAAGACATTATGAACTTGTAACACCTTTCACATCAGCTGCTGATTCCAAAACCAATGAAGGACTTTTAAAATATCATCAGGCTGAAATATAAAGAAATGCAGCAGTCTATTCATGCAAAAGACTCCACCAACAGAAATGAAACAAAGAGTCAATTTTTGGTAGCACTGATGGAGGGATGAAATTTGTCAAGACACCGAAAGAAAATCCAATTATTTGAAAATTATCGTGAGATTTTATTCCATCTATTACAGACAATTTGGTCCTTGGCTAATGTTTCTATTAATAAGGTGACACCTCCAAAAGGTATTGCTCTAAATTGTCAGCCTAGAGTAGGGTAGAGTGACAAGGGGTTAGGGGAAGTTGAGGTCAAATGTCAAATGTCTTTTTCCTACTCTATGGTTCTCAAAGTGAAACATTCAAACACAGGGTGTAATAAAATAAATTTGAAGAGAACGGCAAATATAGAGATGTGCATCTCAAGAGCAAATAGTTTGTCGGAAAGTCTGAGAATCTTAAGGGGCCTTTTCTCATTCTTGTTTTTTTCCAAACATGTGTTACCATATCAATCTGTAGGGATTTGGTGGTTTTAATATTCCTCCTTCTCTTTGCATAGCATATTTGATAAGACGTGAGTCCAGACAAAATCAGCATTTGGGAAATATTATTTATTTTTATCAAAGATCAAATATATTTGTAATGTTGTTGGATCATCTGGAAGAAAGTTCCAAAAAGAACGATGTCTGGGGATGAGTTTTGGGGGCTTGCACACGACCTGTTCAATAGTAACACCCTAAGAGAGATACAGAGTCAAATATTACTATGATTCCACCCTGCATATCAACTGTCAAAAATATATTATTATAAGGTTGTTGATTTGTTCGCCGAACTGGTAGGTTGGTTTGCAGATGTTTCGTCACTATACTAAGTAACACCATCAATGCGCCTCCGATGAAGCGTTATTGGTCTGTCCCACTAGTTACTTATGTAGGTGCGGTCTGATGTGGTGGTTGGCCTCATTTCCAGTTCTGCTTCATAGTGGTTGGTATATGGGGTTTATTTCCACATGTTTGTTGATGGAGTTCCGGGTTGAGTACCAGGCCTCTAGGAAATCCTGTGCATGTCTTTGGTTGGATTTCCTAGACAGGCCTGGTACTTAACCCAGAACTCCATCAACAAACATGTGGAAATAAACCCCATATACCAACCACTATGAAGCAGAAACGGAAATGAGGCCAACCACCACATCAGACTTGACCACATAAATGACAAGCAGGACAGACCAACAACACTTCTTTGGAGGTGCACTGATGATATTACCTAGTATGGTGATGAAACATCTGCAAACCAACCTACCAGCTTGGTGAACAAATCAACAACCTCATCCACAACCTGAGCTACAAGTCTTCTCAAAAACTTTAAATATATTATTATGCCAGGAACCACGATAAATGCATTAACAGTCACAAAATGTAACTTTTTCTCCTTTAGGTCAACTAATTTCAGATCAAAGTCATGCAAAATTTTCCGAATGTTTGTATCCTAAATGAAAGTGTTCAAGATTCCTGCTCTCAAAACTTCCCCCGAGTGTGAATTAGTGAGTTTGATTTGTTTCTGTGATTGACATCTGTTTACAGCCTTTCAAGCAAGCTCTTCAAAAAAAAAGCATTTTTCGTCGATGGAAAGGCAGTTTTCTAGAAATCTTTTATACACATTCACAAGTTCAAAATAATTTTCAATTTACCAAGAAATGGCTAAATGTAAACCAGGAAGCTATTAAACAGTTCTGTATCCTGCTTTAAAGTTGTTTTCAATTATTTACAGTCAAGTCATTCACAGGTACGGGACTAGACACAGTTACTAAAAAATGTCTACACTCTGTAGTAAACATAATTTCAGCTGTGTTAATAAAACTGCACCAGCTAACCACACAAACACATTATTGAATATTTTTTGAGGCAGGAGAAAGAAATAAACAATGATGTGTGAAAGCACTGCCTGGTTGTACTAGTCTATATACGATATTATTAAACAATTTATTATTAAACAAATAAACCTGAACAAAAATTGACACATACTTCACGTGCAAAAATCAATGTAATTCTGAGCAAAATTTATGGCTAGATTGTGCCTAGCGTAAAAACCTTACCTTTTCTTTTATTTATTCATGAGGTGAGGGCACCACTGGCCAGGCCAGCATTTATTGCCTATCCCTAATTGCCCAGAGGGCAGTTAAGAGTCAACCATGTTGCTGTGGGTCTGGAGTCACATGTAGGCCAGATCAGGTAAGGATAGCAGCTTCCTTCCCCAAAGGGCATTAGTGAACCAGATGGGTTTCTCCCCAATAATTGGCAACAGATTCATAATCATCATTAGACCCTTAATTCCAGATTTTCTTTTTAAGTCAGATGCAAACTCCACCATTTGCCATGGCAGGATTTGAACCCAGCTCCTCAGAACATCATTTGGGTCAACAATCCAGCCATAACACCTCTAGGTTCTCCCCTCCAGATGCAGCTCTATCTTTTAATCCTCCTTAGATCTTAGATACTAAAGTCAGAAAATTGATGAACAGTATGCCAATTAAAATAGAAAAAGGAATGCTCATTTTTATTCAATATTTTATGTCCTTTGTAATGGTGTATCACCTCATACTATTCAATGGGGAAATAAATTAGCATTCAAGTAACCACCAAATATTGTTGTGGGATATCAGTTACTTTTATTCCATAAAGTAATGTTACCTTTTCACCAAAAAAAACTTAGTCTCTGTAAAGGATTGTATATTTTTCTTTTTTGAGGTGTTCCCTAACATTAAATGGAATTTGGACTGCTGTAACCAAATACCAGGAATGGATTTTGTACCTATGAATTCAAGTGTTGCATATTGTTGAGCTGTGCAACAAAATGTTGCTTTATGAAGGCAAAAAGAGGGAAAATTCAAAACTGAATGACACCAAGAATTTTGAATTAAGGAAATGCTGACTAACGATAGTTCTCTGACTGGTTGAGCTCAGTGTTAAAAAAAGTAAGTGCTAAAGGCAGCAGAGAGTGAAAAACATCCAAAAACTGCAGATAGAAAGCATCTCTCTCTCTCTATCTCTCTCTCTCTCTCTCTGCATGTAGGGAAAGAAACAGAAATCCCAAGAAAGCTTTAAAGAAATAATCAATACAAGAAAAGGCCTAAGTTCACCTGATCAACCATCAAATTACAGGATGGTCATCACCGTATACAAAACAGCATATCATCATTGCAAAAATCCAAAGAACTGTGAGGAAAATAACTTTCCACCTTGTTGCCAGAACTTTTGATTGTTTACCCTACATATTTTCTTTTTCACTCAAAGTGTATATATTAAACCATTTGTCTTTAATCTGAATCGTGATTGATTGTATATGCGTTTTGTGATTTTGAAGGGGTACAATTAAAGTTGCATAAATTATGAATCCTTTCCTTTCAATGTTCTTGTTAAAATTAGATGTGTTACAATAAATTGAAGTAACCTGGTGTGAGTCGCTATTGCCCTGAGTAGCAGTCAGTCAGGCAAATTGGTTTTTATTTGGTCTCACTGGAATTTTATGTGTTTTTGCATTTTGTGACAGCTTGAGGAATAGTGGGGCATGGGCTGCATTCATTCCAGTTAAGTCATGACTTTTTTTTTAGATTTGGGTGCTGTTCCTGGGTGAAACAAATGGGTCACCATACTTTCTGGTGACACTAGACTGTCTTTGCATGTGTTTTTAATCAAACTTACATAAAGTGGCACATTTTTATGACCTTGTTAACCAAATCTGATGCTGGTTATCTCTGGTTTTAATATCTCATGACCTGCTACTAGAGAATTAAAGTGTCAGTTTTAACTCACAACTTTCTACAGCTCTCTTTTCTACCAACTCTCCTGAAGTTTAAGACTATGGCTGGAATAAGTCACTACCCACTATCCATTATCTACTTACTACATTCGTCTGCCCTATTGTGGACAGCCCAGTTTTACTGTGAGGTCCTAAAACAAATTAAAATTATACAAGCAAGTGTCCTTACATCTGCTTTGGTTAGGTTTGATCTGGTTATTTTCCAGCATGTGTTGAAATGCTATTTCTACCTGAACTTGTTTTTCCAAGCTTAAATGGTAAGGATGTTGATTTATTGGTACTGGTTCCCACACATCCACATCATACCTATCTAACATAATACATCCGAGTGATTTCCCTGAATTTTCCATGTAACCATGATCACAACTCACTGGGGTGCTGTACTGGAAACCAAGTCCCACTATTCCCAGAGTTATGACAAATCGGTCTGAGTGGCTAGCACTGCTGCCTCACACAGCACCAGGGTCATGTGTTCGATTCCACCTCCAGTGACTGTGTGTTCTTGTTCTTCCTATATCTACATATGTATCCTCTGGGTGCTCTGGTTTCCTTCCGCAGTCCAAAAATATGCAGGTTAGATGGTTGGCCTTAGGAAATGCAGGGTTACGGGGATGGGATGGGTCTAGCTGGGACACTATTTGGAGGGGTGGTGTGGACTCAATGGGCCAAATGACCTGCTTCCACGCTTTAGGGAATCTTTGAAATTTGAAGATGTAATGAAATTTCCAAACATCCCAATTTGCCTCTGAATCACTGCTGCTCAGGATAAAAGCAAACCATGCCAGGTTTTCCCCAGTAAGAATAAAAAGTAACCGTTCGTGGTAACACTCTTAACTTTAACAAAAACAGTAAAGGAACAGGATTTCCAATTCTTGTCACTTATTCTTTACCTCTTTTAAGTTCACACAAATACAGACACTCAAAGAAGACCAAACAAATTCAAATATTGCCAGCAGACGGGGAAAGAAGGTCAGAGGAAGAGATTTCTGTATCACCAAACCAAAAATCACAGAACTAGATCCATTGGTTCCACAATCCCTTTATTTTTAGGTGCCTCACTGTTATTTTCTCAGCCTTGCTCAGTTCTTTGTTCAGAGTTGCTTGGTTGGTTCCATGTACTTTCTAGTTGTCTTTGGGCTTTAGAACTGCTTACTTCAGTGTTTCCAAATGTATTTTTCCTGCTCCTTCAACAGAACATTGGAGAAAGGACAACTTTACAGAGAAGGATGGAGAGAGGAAAGTCTGATGCTGCTAACTTCAGGAGGTCTCCTGGCTTAGTACAAAAAAAAACAAAGAAAATTACAGGACAGGAACAGGTCCTTTGGCCCTCCAAGCCTGCACCGATATGCTGCCTGTCACAACTAAAACCCCCTACCCTTCCAGGGACCGTATCTTCTATTCCCATACTTTTCACATATTTGTCAAGATGCCCTTTACAAGTCACTATCGTGTCTACTTCCACTACCTCCCCTGGCAGCGAGTTCCAGGCACCCACCACCCTCTGTGTAAAAAACATGTCTCATACATCACCTTTAAACCTTGCCCCTCACACCTTAAACCCATGGCCCCTCATAACTGACTCTTCCACCCTGGGAAAAAGCTTCTGGCTGTCCAGTCTGCCCATGCCCTTCATAATCTTGCAGACCTCTATCAGATCGCCCCTCAACCTCCGTCGTTCCAGTGAGAACAATGCAAGTTTCTCCAACATTTCCTCATAGCTAATGCCCATCATACCAGGCAACATCCAGGTAAATCTTTTCTGTACCCTCTCCAAAGCCACCACATCCTTCTGGTAGTGTGGCAACCAGAATTGGACATAATATTCCAAACATGGCCTAACTAAGATTCTATAAAGCTGCAACATTATCTGCCAATTTTTAAACTCAATGCCCTGACCGATGAAGGCAAGTATGCCATATG